TAATATTATATAGTTAATAAATTGCCTTTATACCAATGTACAAGTTTAAATACATAGGTTATTATTATTATTTTTTTTTTATGAATAATAGCAATATTAATAATAATATTATTACATATATATAATTTTTAGACTGCGGATATTTATGCAAAAAGATTTAACTGAATATTTTGCATAAAATGCATATTTTGCATAAATCAAACATATTATCTGCATAAAATACATATTTTTCATAAACTTTACATATTTCATGTAATATTCAAGTAGGTATATAGTATGATTACATCATAATTATATGATGAAATACACAGCTAATTCGAGTTTCCGCAAAGACAGTAGGCATTTAAAACGAAATCTATTTTCGGATCCATATTGATGTTTTGTGATGTGAGCATATCTGAGACCAGACAAACAGTTGAAAAAAAAAAGACAAACAATAATCTTACATATCCAAAATGTTGTCTCTGCGAAATTGAGTATTTATATCGAGGGGGTAACCACTATCTAAAATATTGTCCCACAGATTACATGATTTCATTTAATTTTATATAATTTTATTTGACGACAATTTTCCTCACTATATATATGCGGTTATTTGGAAAAATTAACGATTTTATCTAATATTACACAATTATTTCTTGTAATTGTCGGATTATATATCGAAATTTTATATAAATTTTATAATGATTTCAGGGATTCTGTCCCACGATTACATTAAGTGATTACCCCCTCGATTTATATAACGGCTCCGTTTAAAATCGGAAGAATAATATCGATGACTATGAATCGTCAATTATTTGATTACGTAATTTATTTTGACGCTAAAAATGAGCAAAGTGTCAACATGAAACGGCGCGTTAAGATCTCAGCACACGCTTTTCGGCGCGCGCGCGCCTGTCGCCCAAGGGGGGGGGCAAATGCCCCTTCTTGCCCCCTCCCCTGTGAACGCCCATGATTGCATACACCTCCACAATCACCGGATCTTAATCCGATTGAACATTTATGGGGCATTCTTAAAGATGCTATTAAGAAAAGACACATTTCCAATCGAAACGAGTTAAAAACCGCTCTTCAAGAAGAATGGGAATCTATTTCCTCAACCATCACACGAAAACTAGTAGAATCGATGCACCGAAGACTACTGTAATCAATGCCAACGGTTATCCTACAAAATATTAGATTAATATATTATCCAAATTAATAAAAGTGTACGAATACTTTTTGTGCAATGAAATAATATAATTTCTTCTTTTGTGATAATTATTAGGATAATATATTCAAATTCTTATATATATATTTTTTTATAATAATGTTAAGAAACATATAATCAACTGTATTTGTTACCAATAAATTGCTAATTAATGCTTATCTTCTACAAATAAAGCTTTTTCAATAAAAATCTCCGCTGTAC